TCCTTCGGAGAGCAGAGTAATATGTTCGCTTACACCCCCGGCAGGCACCATTACTCGCCATCACCCAAAACTACCGCTCATGATGAGTTGCAGAAACAAGTTCCAAGGAGTCCAGGCCCACTGGAGAGATTGTTTGTCGGCAACCAGGTATTTTCTCCCATGAAACTAGCTGAAGCCGCGAGAAAGATGGACTACCAGCAACAGCAATACGAATCTCGAGAGATGCAAATGCTGGTGTGGAGCTCGAGCAACTCTCCTGCGTCTGATAGAGGCTGTTACGAGACCAGGAAATTGACAAGCCACAAGAACCTGTCAATTCAAAGTAAGTACGTTTCTATTTCTGTTTCAAGGAAAACTTACATCCTTACTTACGAGTGTAGTACCGTCGAACTCCACACCATTACATCCATGCATGGCCAAAGACTTCAGCTTCGTTGATAACGTTCTGTTCCAAAGAGAAGACACCACCCCGCTGTCAGAGAAGAATCTGAAGAGCGAATCACATTTGCCTTGCAAGGTTCCCTTCACGCCACCGAAACTGGTTGACAGCGACTCGTCAGCTCCGACTCAAATGCCACCACCTACAGTCATGACAAAACTCATCGTGAGAATGATGTGGAAGAAGCTGATCCGAAATCCAAATACTTACGCGAGTCTGCTCGGGCTTGCATGGGCCCTGATATCCTTCAGGTATCCTCTTCATCCATATTTCTACCTAGCTTGTCTCATCGCTAAAGCTCGTCATCTGTTGGCAGATGGAACGTCGGAATGCCAAAAATTCTCGAGCATTCCATCACAATCTTGTCCGACGCAGGCTTGGGGATGGCCATGTTCAGTCTGGGTGAGTACTTCAATCACTATATTTGTCGATTGGTTGCCAACGTCGGTGAGACTTTTCTTCTCCAGGCCTCTTTATGGCGCTGCAATCGAGTTTAATAGCCTGCGGGACTACCATGGCTGTTGTCGTGATGATCATTCGCTTCGTGACAGGCCCTGCTATTATGTCTGCGACGTCGATTGCTGTTGGCCTCCGAAATGTCCAGTTGAGGGCCTCCATCATCCAGGTAATCGCCAATGCCATGTCCCAACTTTTCCAAACTCTTGTTGATCTTGTCCAGGCAGCACTGCCACAAGGAATAGTTCCTTTTGTGTTCGCGAAGGAGTACAACGTCCATCCAGATGTCTCAGCACGGCGTAAGTATGATGAGCGTCGTTGAACAAGCCTCACCATCCCCGGGTTGTCTCTTTCTTCTTACAGTGTAATCTTCGGCATGCTGATCTCACTTCCCATCAATCTTCTCTACTATGTGCTGCTGGGCCTTTGAGATCCAGCCAATGCGTAAGACGAGGCCAGCATCCTGCCGACATTTTCCGAATGTATATTGCGGAGAGTTGACTTGTGCCGTCATCGCATCATCGATTTTTAGCTCTACATTCAAGGACTAGACTCCAAATTTTTTGTCCTCTGTAAATTAATCGTTATCACTGGATCTGAGAGAACTTCTGCAAGCGCTACTTACTCGGAGGTGGTAGAGTAGACCAGTCGTGGATGGAGAACCCAGACCGAAACCACTGCACCCATATATAGAAGACGCCTATGCTACAATAAGCTGACACCAGCATCAGTGGTAGAAACTCGAGCCGCTGCGGGAAGAGAAATCGGTGTCCAAACTGACCGTATATCTCTATAAGAATCATTCCGGCCAAATAGCTTGATTTTAATCTTCCCAACGCTGTCCTTGAATGTCGTGACGCTTTTGATTTGTCTTCGCCTTTGCCGTCCACTTTGACGCTGAAATAGTTTGAAAAGCAATCCCACAGCAGCGTGGAATAAAGAAGCAGGACCAACACCTTAATGGGATACTCGGGGGCTTCGTAGAGCAGGGGGAAAAGCGAGTAGTAGCAAACTGCAAAAGAAACAAAACGATACAAAACCATTTGAGAGCGGTACAAGATTGATACGTGCACATGAGGTACCTGTCGAAAGGAATAGATAATCGTTTGCATTGTCCATTGATTCCACTGCGATCAGGCTGAAGGGTACCACAAAGTGAAGTGACGCTTTCTCATGGACATGCCAGCCAAACATGAAGCCGCACATGTAAGCATATGTGATATAGTAGACAACTCTGGAAGGCTGTGGGTTTCTCCAAATCTTATAAAGCCAAGGGACAAGCGATGACAACACCATGGCGAATGTTATCAGCGGCGTAATCTGCATTTTTTAAGGTACTGTGAGAAGCGAAACAAAATGGAAGGACGAAAAAACTCACGCTTGGAAGAACCGCATAAGATGAAAACTCGCCCACGAGTCCTCCAGTGTAAGCCGCGGTGGTGGAATTTACTTTAAAACCAGCAGCCTTGAAAAGGATAGACAGAGCTTTATCTGCTGTATTGTACATAGCCCAGATGTTTGGAGCCCAGTAAGCGTGACATAATCCTCGTCCAAATGGAAACAATCTCCTTAAAACTTGCTGGATCTGAAAACAAAGTTTGCTGGTACACAAAAATGGTGACGAAAAGGAAGCAGAGCCTACCTGGCCATAGTAAGCAAAGGGTCCAAAAGCGAGCACCACAACACCAAGCACCGAAATGGCGAGCTGGAAAAAGTTGCGCAGCCTTCTCGGGCCAGAACAGTAGTGTCGAAGCAAATAGACGAAGTAAACTGGCCCAGCCACGGCAAACAAGTGTTTGAAGCAGACCAAGGCGGCAAAAATCACTCCGCCCAGAAGATCTTTTCCCTGCTTGAGCGCTGCCAGAGACAGCAGCAAAATCCCCAGAAGGAATCCATTGTACTGGAAGTGGATGTGATCGACGATTAAGAGCCCGGGAGAAAACACGACCACTGCATAGACCAACTTCCTCTTATCTGGTGCCATACCTTTGCAGTAGCTCCACAGTCCAAGGTAGAGCACACTGTCTGCTACCATCACACTCCCCCTCTGGAACAACAGGCACGAAGCGCTGGCGTAATTTTTCCCTGCGCTGAGATCCACGATCCTGGGATCCCATACCGCTGCAAATGCCGACAGAAGGCGCTCGAACCACGCGAAGAATGGGGGATAATCCAGCGTCCACTCGCTGGTCTCATCGACATACCACCGATCGACAGGGAGCGAGTGCGTGATCGCCAGCCAGTTGCGGTGTACCTCGAAATCCGTGCTGTGGTAGGATGGAAGAAGTAGGATCTTCACGCAAGTCGCGATGGCCGCCATCACCAGCAGCTCCCCCATCGCGCCAAAAAACCCTAGGAAGAAGAACCCTAGAACACAGCTACTTTTGTTTGAAATTTTGGCGCGAGGAGCTTCTTCATCCATATTCTTCCAACTCCCCATTAATCTCCCCGATCCAGGGATCCGCGATTTCTTTCTTGATGCTCGCGGCGGCGTAGAGATCCTGCATCAGCACGAATGTGGCCGGCTCCCTGGCATCAAATCGAAGCGCTGCCGCCGCCGCACGAGCCCCAGCTGCGGCATTGCGATGGATCTTGCAAGAAGAGAGCAAGCTCGCCCACGCGATCTCGTCGGGGGGGAAGGGCATGCTATGAATCAGCTCCTCCGCGTCGATTATCCTCCCCGATCTACCAAGAATGTCGATCATACACCGGTAGTGATCCTTCCCGGGCTTCAATCCGTAATCACAGTGCATCGACACGAAGATTTCCCAGCCTGTGGCAAGCAATCCGCCATGGCTACACGCCGTCAGCGCAGTGGAGAAGCCAATGAGATCTGGCGCGATGCCCTCGAGCGCCATGGCCCTAAACACCATCACCGCCTCCACTGGGTGCCCGTTCTGGGCATATGCCGCCACCATAGAGTTCCAAGAGAAGATGGTCCTCTGGGATATACGCCGGAAGATTCCCTCGAATATATCCACACGAGCGCCCTGCGCATACGCCGTGATCATGGCCGTCCAAGCCACGACATTCCGGCGAGGCATCGTGTCAAAAATCCCTTGAGCCTCGTCCAGATGCCCATTCTGGGCATATGCAGTTAGCATCGCCGTCCACGACACATCGTCCCGGTCAGGGATCCTATCAAACAGCTCCTTGGCTTCGCTAGCGTGGCCGCTATCAGAATAAGCGTTTAGCATGAGATTCCAGGAAATGTTGCTGGTAGGCATCGCGTTAAAGGTAGCACGGGCTTTCTCCAGATACCCAGAGTGGGCATATGCCTGAACAAGGATATTCCACGTCACCACATTCCGGAATGGAATTCTCTCAAACAGGAACTCAATCTGCTGGACATTCCCGCCCTGTGCGACGGCGTTGAGCAGCCCCGTCCACGTCACCACGTCGCGCTGGGGCGTGGAATCGAACACGCGCTTGGCACCCGCGGCGTCACCGGCTAGGGCATATGCCTGCGCGAGCGCGTTCCAAGCGGGAGTGTCCCACGCCGGCATTCGGTCGAACAAAAACCTAACCCATGTCACCTCCGATTCCTCAGCGAACGCATTGAGCATCGTCGTCCACGCGATCACATCTCTCTCGGGCATTGAATCAAACGCCTCTTTGGCATCCGGCAATTCCCGCGCTAAGGCAAATGCTTGGCAGATCGTGTTCCACGCCCGCACGCTCAGTGCCGGCATTGAATCGAAGATCTTTTTGGCATACTCTACGCGATTGTGGTGCGAGGCCACGGCGAGGATCGAGTTCCAGGAGATGGCGTCCCTCTCTGACATGGAATCGAATGTATTCTTGGCTTGCAGAAACTGCCCTTTCTGAGCATATGCCTGGAAGAGGGCATTCCACGTAACCACGCCCTTGTTAGGGCAGCGGTCGAACATTTGCTTGGCGTCCTCCAAATGCCCGTTCTGGGCAAATGCCGCGATGAGGATGTTCCACGAATACCGGTTGGGGCAAGCGAGCGAATCGAAAACCCCGCGCGCTTCCTCGGGGCTGCCGCACTTGCCATACATCCGCATCACCTGATTCATCACGAAATTGTTGGCGGAGAGATGGGGGCTCTGCGCGATCTGGGCATGGATTCGTCGCCCCTCTCGCAGGTTCTTGGCCTCGGCGCAAGCTTGCAGCTCCGCCGTGACGGTGTCCTGGGAAATTCTTGCATTTTGTGCCGAGAACTGGATTCCACGGATGAGAAACTTGGGGATGATCCATACGCCTCCGCTGCGACAGTGGAGCATCGATCACCCATCGCAATCAGCAGAAATTTAAATTGTGTTTTAGCGCCAACGCACTTTAGGGCTCTTAGACCTAGTCATCGAATGGAAGCGTGGCCATGGCGCTGGGCGCGACGCTCTCCAATCCCATGTAAGTCTCCCTTTGTTTCCATCCTCCGCTTATAGCTCGTGTGTTGCACAGCCGCGCCAGAGCTCCGCGCAAGGATCTCTTCGCTGCGTCAGACAGGGAAATCCTCCGGAGATACAATGCAATGGTGCAACAAGGAATGCGATCGTTCAGCATCGGACTCGTGCTCGCGGCATTGAAAATCTGCAAGAATTCCAGGGACCTTGGCAGCGGCAGGAAGATCCACAGCGATCTGGTAGCCAGTGGCGACAACGCAAACGTGGTCGTGGCCAACACGCTGGTGGATATGTACGCAAAGTGTGGCAGCATGCCGGAGGCTCTGGCGGTGTTTCGAGGTATGGATTTCCACAGCGTTGTCTCTTGGAATTGTATCATCCTTGGCTATGCGCAGAGCGGAGATGGGGAGTTTGCTCTCGAGCTCTACGCGGCAATGGAGGAAGAAGGCGTCTCTCCAAACCGCGTCACGCTTCTAGCGGCTTTGAAGGCCTGCGCTAGCCTGGCGGAAAAGGGAGATCTTTCCGTGAGATCCAGATGCCTGGACCGAGGCATTTTGATCCACGAGCAAGCTGCCAGGAGCCAAGACGATCTCGAGGTGGCGGTGGCAACGAGCCTGATGGATATGTACACCAAGTGTGGTGCCATGGTGGAAGCTCGCGGGATTTTCGAGAAGATGGAACGGCGGGACTCGGTGTCATGGAACTGCATCATTCTCGGCTATGCTCTCGCCGGGGATGGAAGCCTGGCCCTAGAGCTCTTCGAGAGGATGAAGATGGAGGGCTGTGTTCCAGACTCGGTGACTTACGTTGCGGCTCTCAAGGCTTGCTCGAGCTTGGCAGAGGCAGAGGCGGAAGCCCCGGGGCTAGACGGGAAGCTCGTCAAGGCCGGGAGTTTTGAGACCGGGAGAAGGATCCACAGGCAGGCTTCTCAGGGAGGGGACGAGTCGGACTTGTTCGTAGCGACAACGCTGGTGGACATGTACGCAAAGTGTGGCTGCATGGCCGAAGCTCGCAGTGTCTTTGGGAGGATGGAGGAGCCCAGCGTGGTGTCCTGGACGGCGGTGATCCTCGGCTACGCTCAGACTGGGGAATGCGAGCTCGCGCTCCAGTTCTACGCCCGGATGAAGCAGCGCTCCTGCGTCCCGGACGCCTTCACTTACGTCGCTGCGCTCAAGGCCTGCGGGAGCTTGGGTGCGCTGGAGAGAGGGAGAAGAATCCAGGCTGATATCTCCAGCGCGGGTCTCCAGGGGGACGTGTTCGTGGCCAACGCGCTGGTGGATTTCTTCGGCCAGGTTGGGAGCATGGGCGAGGCGGAGGAGGTGTTCCAGACCATCTCCCCGAAGAACTTGGTCTCGTGGAGCGCTCTCATGGCCGGGTATAGCTTCCAAGGCAACGTTGGACGAGTTCTAGAGCTGTTCGAGAGGATGCGGAGGGAGCAGCCGGGGATCCGACCGGACGAGATAACTTTCCGGACGATTCTCACGGCTTGCAGCCACGCCGGGATGGTGGACAGGGGGAAGGAGTGCTTCGAGGAGATGGCTCGGGTGTTTGGGATCCGGCCGGGGCTGGATCACTACAACTGCATGGTGGATCTTCTGGGACGAGCCAACCATCTGGAAGAAGCGGTGGCTATGGCGAGAGAGATGCCGTTTGAGGCGACCCTGGTGACTTGGACGACGATCCTCGGGGCGTGTCACAAGTGGAAGGATGTGGAGGCGGCGAGGGTGGCGTTTGATGCGGTGGTGGCGATGGATCGCAAGCACGCTGCTGCGTATGTGCTCATGTCCAATATCTATGGATTTGCCGGGATGTGGGAGGAGCAAGCTCGAGTCATAGAGATGGGAAGGCGAAACATGGAGTACGATAGTAAAAATTAACGAATATTATAAAGTTGGTGGATAAGATATAACAGGGGTGGTGGCGCAGTTGGTCAGCGCGTAGGTCTCATAGCCCTTGAGTGATCCTGAGGTCGAGAGTTCGAGCCTCTCTCACCCCAGCTTTCGGTTCTGTTTTTCAAGATCATGAAACGATAAATTTAACGTAGAAGCTCACGAAATCATCTTCCGTTGCCGGGAATTGAACCCGGGTCTCTCGGGTGAGAGCCGAGTATCCTGACCGACTAGACTACAACGGACTACATTATTTTTGTTTATTATTTTCTCAATATTTTTTGTTCTAACAAATTTGATTTTATTATCATTCTGTATAATTTTTTAAAATCTTTATCTATGTTAAGACACCTTCTCTTCCTTTTCATGGTTTTTTCCTGTCAGCTTTGTCCTCATCGGATCAAGACAAGCTGACAACACCAAAAAGAATAGTGATCGTAAGTTGTGGGAGTATGGTTGAGATAGAGAGAAATGGAATCACTGGGCGGATCTCACGCTCAAAAAACTTATCCATGTTAGAATGGTGGATCTCATGCTCAAGGTTATTAACACGTTGGGTGTCCTGGAACTCACTAAGACTCTGCTAGTGTGTCTGTCATTTCCTGGAACTCATGTTGTGCCAGCTCCAGGCATGTTGAGCACGCCCTTAAGCTCTTGATGTATCTTGAAGCTCCTTCGGAAAAACAGATTTCTTATATTATTAATAATTAACTATTTAGCTTTGAGAGGTCGAGGTGGTGAAGTCGATGATCTCGATAAAGTCTCCAGTGCAGTTGTAATGCTGGGGGGCCTTTGCCAGTGCAGGGCTTCTACGGTTGTCCACGATCGGCCCGACCAAGTTACTTCCCTGTGGAACAAGCGCAAAAGAGTACGAGTTGTTCTTTGCACTGAATTGCAAAAACTTGTTGGTGGCTAAAGGAGACATGTAAGGCAAGACAGCTTTGCCCTTCCCAGGTCCTGCAAAGACAAATCAATCAAACTTAAAATTCCAAGCAAAAAGGCTTGCAAAATCAAATGGAACTTGGTTCTTCTTACCAAAGCTGCCTGCTGGAGTGTTTGCTACCCAGTAGGTAATGTAGGACTCATAGAGTTGGAATCCAATCATGTCCAACCAGGTGAACATCACCACTGAGAAGTAAGAAGGATGTGTCAATGCCGCGACGGTCGTCATATCCTTGGATGTCAATAGTGGGAGCCCTGTCAGTCATGAGCAATGGGAGGAAGCTGTTCTCCTTGACTGTGGTGGAACCATACTTTGTGAGAAGATGACAACAAACAAAAGAAGAAGAGAATCACAGCTGACAAGAACACCATTTCTAAAAAAGTCTTCTGTTTTTTTTTTAAACCAGAGAATTCTAGAAGAAAGGCAGAAGTCAAGCAAGAAAAAACTAAAAATAATTAAAATTGAGCGAATTGGAATCTTTCGATGATACATTCTCAATTATAATTGTCTTCTTTGACAGCCGCAAAGAATGATTGGATCGCTCAATCAGGCAGCAGCAAGCTTGAAGCAGAAAATATGAAGAAATACAAACCAAGAAAAAAAAACTAATATACACCGGAAACCATCCTGATTCTCTTTTGCTTCCAAACTTAATTCCAAAGCTGGGATTTGGTTGCAAAGGATATATATTATGAAGTTGGTGGAACCTGTTATATGGTAAGATATAACAGGGGTGGTGGCGCAGTTGGTCAGCGCGTAGGTCTCATAGCTCTTGAGTGATCCTGAGGTCGAGAGTTCGAGCCTCTCTCACCCCAGCGAATGCACATTTTATTTCCCTCAGTCAGGACTCAAACATTGCCAAAATGGGAAGTGAACGATAGTTAAAATCTTTGTGTATTATTTTATCAGAATAATTGTGTAAGAATGCCAAACCTAAGTATTACACTGAGACAAGAACAGAGTTTTGTAAAAACTTATTTGAGGTAGTGATTGAGCCATTGCAGCTCCTCAGTTTCTATGGCCGCGAGGTTTTCCACGTTTTCCAGCTTCAAGGGCTCGATCGGCGCATTCTCTCCTACGAAGAGCGGTAGATTTCTCACGGCGCCGAGGATTGTTGTGAGAGCCGCGCGCACGGAGGCCAAGAAATTGCAGCTGGCTTCTCGCATTCCAGATTTCCAGGTAAATACTTCTTTCTATCTCTGTGCTAAACAGGCCTTTCTTTCTCAGCTGGTTGAGCCTCTGACTGCCAAACAATGGTCGCTTGACGAGTTTGAAGGAGCTCCCGGATTACTGGTATATAGCACCACCATAGCTAAAAGAATTTTGGAAGAATCTTTTGCTCCCTTATCCTTCTCCATCCAGGTCATGTTTATTTGCAACCATTGCCCATTCGTCATCCATCTCAAGCCAGGGATCGTGACGCTAACCAACGAGTACATGAGAGTACGTATGAAAAACATTTCTTCGTTTCTTTCTCCTCAGTCCAAAGACTTTTTTTTTTCTTACTCTCTTGCATGGAACAGAAAGGCCTCAGTGTTGTTGGCATCTCTTCCAATTCAGTGAGAACACATCCTCAGGTGTTTACAGTCTGCGATACTTGCTTGGATCGATGAATCGAGTTTTGCGAGCTCGCAGGACGGCCCAGCGGCGATGGCAGAGGAAGCGAAGAAGCTTGGATACGAGTTCCCATACCTCTACGACGAAGTGAGCATCACATTCCTTCCTTAACTTTCCAAAGTGGTGATCGTGATCTTCCTTCCAGACACAAGAGGCTGCACGGGCGTTTGGAGCAGTATGCACGCCAGAGTTCTTCCTGTTCAAGAAGGTATTTCTTAGCTCAAAGAGAGAAAAAGATGTTTTCCTACACACTCTAGTGGCACATTCAGGATGGAAGGAGGCCATTCGAATTAGCTTATCACGGCCAGTTCGATGATTCTCGTCCCAACAATGGGAGGCCAGTCACTGGAAGGTTTGCAATGACTATCAGTCGATTGTTTTCACTGTGACACTCATGTTAATGCAGAGATTTGAGCATGGCTATCGACTGTGTGCTTTCAGGAAGACCCGTGAGTCCCTTGCAAAAACCCAGGTTCGTTCTCTCATTTTTTTCCTTTTTCTCTCGTCTCACTCGTACCTGTTTCAGCATGGGATGTAGTATCAAATGGCACCCGGAACCATAAAAAGTTGGAAGTTTCTGCCTGCAATTCACTGATATTGTCAAAAAGGTATCGTCAATGCAAACTACCTCTCTGCATCGCTGTTGTGATCTTATCAGGCATGCCAAAGAAGATTGGTGTCGTCTTTCTCCAACTTGGGCTTTGGATAGAGTTTTGGGATGAGATGTGGATGCCATTGAATGGCACAGCCCATACTGCACAACAAAAAGAGAAATGGATGAAAGATCCAAGTCCAGACGCTGACGCTACCTATGCTTTTGGTGTGGATCGACCGGTTTACCCGTGAGAACCGCATCTAGTGCTAATCTCAAATCCCTGTGCCAGAACGAGCGTTAAGATTTCTCGTTACCTTTGATTTTTAGTACCTTCCAGTGATGGGAATTTTGTTTGGGTTGTGGTCCCTTGCGTCGTCAAACTGGCCGTGATACGCGAGTTCAAACTTTTGCTCCTCGTTCTGGTGATGCAAGCAACGATCAGACGTATAGCATTTGCTTGACTCTACCTTTCTGAAAACAAAAAAATCGGGAGTGCCAAGTGGTGCGTACGCTTGAGTAACCTCTTGAGTCTGGAACCAAAAAGAAAACACAGCTCTAATCAACAAAGAACTAGCAGCCAACCTCGTCGTAGAGATAGGGGAACTTGTAGCCATACTTCTCGACTTCCTCTTGCATCTCAGCCGGTCCGTCCTAAAATGACGAAGGAGCCAAAGACATGAAGAAAGAGGACTCAAAAAAGTTTCTTACCTCTGGAAAAACTACGACAGAATTCGGCGATATAGCCACGACCCCGAGACCTTTCTGCGCAGATTTTTCCACTATGAGAACCACGGTAGAAGTTCCAAACATACCTCCATATACTCTTCCACTAGCTGGATGAGAGCAGACCTCAAAAACACTACAAATGGGCAGCGATACGAAATAAACATCACCTGTAAAGCACGAAAGATTGTCACGCGAAAGAACAAGCCACAAAAGCTTTACCAAAAGAGCTGGATACTGCTGGAAATCTTTGAGGCACCACTCCTTGCCAGTCGCGGGCTCTCCAAGCTAAAGAACAATTCACAAAGATCAGGAAGGATTTTCGTTTGTTCCCGGTACCTCAAAATCTGGTGGTGGAGCTCCTAGCTCTAACTGCTTCAATGCAATAGCACGAACACCCAGCCTAGCTCTTGATCTTTGCCTTCTCACCGAAATATTCTTCTTTACGCTGATGCTGGGAAGAAATGCGGTCCGGAATCGCAAATCCCCGCCCCCGCTCCGCGAATCCACGCTAGAGTCGCTCCTCAAACAGGCTGCATTGCTCGAATCCACGCTCCCAGCGCAACAGCAGATCTTGGAAGCGGTGGCGCGAGGCGCGAGAGCAGATGGAGCGACGATCGTCGCAACGAGCGTCCCCATTTGTAAAACCCTAGCTAAGCCCTGGTAGTGAGCGTGGCTTATTTGGAGCCATGAGAATGGAAGTACGCGCTAAGCACAAGTCTCTTTCTTTCTTTAGGTCAGGGCTTTGGAACACGCACGAAGGATCGATCCATTCCATGAGCCAATAGCGCTCGCGCTCTCTCTCTTTCTCTCTTCCGTGAGCTTGAGATCATGGCGCCTCTCCTCCACAGGCCTCCAGCGGCGCCGGCATTCCCTGCATTTTCGATCCAGCTCCGAAATCCCGGCAGCCGGGTGAGCCTTCTCGTTGCCAGTAGCAATTCCGGGGGAGTATCGATCAGATTTCTCAAGTCGCGGGCCTCCTCTCCATCGTTAGACGGGATTTCATCCTCCTCTCTTCCCGAATCCACCACACTTCTGTCCAGGCCCTCCCTAGCGTCGTCGTCTTCGTCCTTGATGCTGGCGCCTTCGAATTTTCTGGGACAATTCAACAGGCTCTCGATTGCCGATCAGCTCTTCGTGGTGCTGGGCGTCCTATCATGCCTGGTGAGAATCTCTCGTTCCATTCGCAGAGATCGATCTATCTAATATCGCAGCCAAATTTCTAGACTGTTGGAGCGTTGCTTACGGCGCTAGTGGCAGCGATTCCAACCTTGAAGGCAAGCAAACTAAAAAAAATTCTCTAATTACAGTAGTACCAGTACGATTCTTTTTTCTTCGTACTAAGATCTATAGCCCTTTCAGGCAATTCACCGAGCATCGGTATCACTGGAGAAGCTCTCGGACATGGCACGGGAAGAATTACCCGGGACGATGGCGGCAATCCGACTCTCGAGCATGGAAATCAGTGATCTCACACTAGAACTTAACGATCTGAGGCAAGCTCTCTCTAAACTCTCCATTCACTCACTCACTACAGCTCTTTTTCTTTCACCTCTCCCAGTCAAGAGATATCCGATGGTGTTAGAACCTCCGCTCGAGCAGTCCAGGCTGCGGAGGTGGGAATTCGTCGAATGGGAGCTGTCGCAGCGTCTCAAGTCTTTGGTACGAAAATCCTCTCTCGAAGCTCGATTGTAACTCTTTGGTTTCTCTTCCCAGCGATGCTACAAGAGCGAGCGACCGTTCCAGTGCAAGCAGTCAAGCCAGTGGTGGCGAATGCGGCAGAGACAACACGGCAGGCTGTGCTCCAAGCTCAAAGGGCAGTCCTCACTCTCGCCAGCCATCCCCAGCTCTCGAGATGGTTTTGGAAGAGTCTCAACGAAGAGGTGAGCCAGGAAGAGAAGCAGCAGGAGCTATTTAGTAGCGAGCGATCAGACAACACTGTATAAAAATGGTTAGTTCTTCCCAAAAATCAAACGAAGATCTACCAAAGAGCATGAATGTTCCTCTGGCTGACCTTCGGGACAAAAAAAGCTTTACAGGATATTAACGCTCGCAGTTTTCTCGACTTCATCTACAAAGCAATTGAACCAATTTTAGCATCCAAAACGCGATGCTTACATTCTTAGCTTAGCGAGGGATGCTTTTCTCCAAGAGTTCCTGCGCAAGTAAAATACGTTACCAATGCAATGGATGAAGTGTTCTAACCATACCTTGAGCTATACATCAGACGAGGATATAAGAGTGGTGATCTTTGTAGGACGATATCTCCTTGGCAGCTATCTTGACTTTCTCAATTAGATGCTTGGTGAAGTGCTCTTGGACGTTGGAAGTAATCCGTGCTTGCATCGCAGTGCCTTTTTGCCACGAGGTTCCCAGAAGCACGCGGCACTCGCTCATCGCTGGCTTGGACGATAGAGTTCGTACTTCGTTCCTCACGTGAATCTGTGTAGAAACACCACATTTAAAACCAGAAACCATCTCCGAAAGCCAAGAACAAAACCTGGAAGTTGTCTCCAAACGGGACGTCGTGCAGTGTCAGTATCTCGTCCACAGATGCAGTTAAGTGATTGCTCGACACCACCTTCTGCTGAACGCCACTCACAATGCTCCCGAATTGGCACATCTGTCGGTTCAGCCTGTAGTTCACTTGCCGCCTTTGGCCGGGACCTTCGTTTTCCCAGGGAGACACGGTGTAGTTCATGCATCCCAGCTTTTCCATGACTTTCTCTTCCAGATTTTCTTTCTCGTACAACAGCACCATGGAAGCAGCCTGCCATCGAACAACGGAAATAAGCATCCAGATATCAGGATCCAACCAGCATACCGTCAAAGGCAAGACAGTGGAGTAGACCTCCGACAGCGTTACGTCCTCAACGCCTATAAACTCGCCATCTTCATAAAGCTTGCTTTCGGTATCTACATTTTCGACCATTTCCAGTTGCTGCTCCGGGGTCAGCGCTCTATTTTTCCAGAGTACCATCAATGTCCTGCGAGAAAAAAAAATAGAGTGATTTACATCGTCAATGAAAACAAAGGAAATGTACCTAAACGCTGGGCCAGCGCGGACAAAGGATTGGAACTGGAATTTAAGCCGACCTTTCCCGTCCATGCCCTTGGAGCCTTGATTTGCGTCGTGAGCTCTTCCTTTCCGGGAAAAAAGCACAATCGAGGGACCAACATTGGCTATCGATGGAGGTAACTCCTGGACTTCGTCTATGTCTTCCCATAAAAGAGAAAACTTGGTTTTATGTCCAAAAATGTTTGAGTAGAATCCCAGCATCCGGGGCGAGAGGAATAAGCGGCCCTGTAATTCGAGAATGTCGTAAGTACGTAAACAATACAACTGGAAAAAAAAAAAGGACGGGCCTGCAAAGGTATCTTTCGCTTGACAGCACAAGCGAAGTCGTTAATGAGAAATTCCTCTGCCGGAAGTGAGAAGAGCTTTTGAAATGAAGCGTTCTTTCTCGAGCTCTTGATGACCTGCACAGGGGTTTGGTCTTAGCTTCGCTTCATAAGACAAATCATGTACCTTCGCTCCTGCCTCTTTCTCAACTTTCTTCACATACTCAACAAACGTATCAGCCTCCTTCGTGTTAGTCAAAAAGATCCGAAGGTGTAAACGGGAGTAAGAGGTCTGTGCATGCGGCCCTTCCAAACGAATCCATAAGTCGGCCAGATTATCCGGGCTGAGTTTGAGAAAATTGATTTCCGCGTAACCGAGAGACACCGCTTCAGGAAAAGGCCCGTCATAGTTAAAAACTTCTACGTCCAGAGTTGATGGAGGATCTTCCGTGGCATCAAACTCGAAGATTTCTGTTCAGAAAACCCATGAGAAACATGCAGAAGAAAAAGTTGTAAGTGACTTACCTCCCCACTTTGGATTAGTTGTCTGCAGTTTCACAGAACTTGTTCGAGTTCTCCCACTGCATGTAAATACCACGTATGGATCCAAGCAGTTTGTGTTTGGCCGGATAGGTAGGTTCTCTCCTTCCACAAGAGTCACTGTCAAGAGCCAGCCCTCACCTTTTGCTTTCTTTCCATGGTCGCCGGCTGTTAAAGATGCGGCTCGTAGCTTTTTCAGCGCCATTTTTCCAAGCTGAACGAAGTGGACGGTGATCACGGCAGATGTCAATAGCTCGCCAAAAGTATCCGGTAAGTCGAGTTGCCAAAACTCCAACCCGACTGTCGGAGTTGGCTGTGCAAGCTGAATGTGGAGTAGTACCACCAGAAAGAACAGCAAGGACACCACGATGAACATCGAGCTGGAAAAGTACTCCTGTGTGAGGCTAATGTCATTCTCGGGTTCATCCTGCTCTTCTGCTGGTGCGGGGTCGGCGTCCTCCCCAGCCTCCTCGACATACTTTGAAAGAACCTCCACATACTGCCGGAAATTGTCCGTGAGTCCCTGTTTCGCACCTCTTTCGATCAGCCTTTTCGCCATGGTGCTCTGAATAAAGTTGATCCTCCATGATATGGAAAGGTTGCAGCGCTCTTCGGAGACCGGCGTCAGGCAGTACTGCACCTCAGTTCTAAAAGTGTTGCCGTAGAGCACATCAGGCGTACTGACTACCGCTAAAACAACGTAGGCGCGATCATCTGCTCGTAGATAAGTCTGCTCTTCTGTTGCCTTGACCGACTTTACCACTGCGGTAGCAGCTTTCGTGTACGTAAGAACTCGTTTCGGGTTTTCGTTGCCAACTTTCTTCCACATCCCCTCCACCAGATCGGTTGTCTTTTGCACTGCAATCAGCTCCTCAAAGAACGGAGAGTGGGGCTTGAACAGCACCGAGTTGAGAGTCTGGAGCTTCGTCGCATACGTCTGGTTCGCTAGAAAACCTCCCGATAATGGAGGTGGCACGCTGTCGCCAGGTGTCGAGAGCTGTATACCACCTTCCTCAAAGAAGGATAGAGGGACTTGGCCTTCCTCCTCTTCGCTTTCACATTCTTCCGTCGATTGATCCGACAAAACACTGGGTGACGAATTCGAATTGGGATGGATCCGAGCACTTTTCTTGAAGAGAGATGTCACCTTTTGACCAAGTCGAGAACGAACCTTCAGCCTCTCTGTATCGGGAGAAGACTTTGTGCGTGGAGAACTTGGAGCGGAGCTACTTGGAGTATGCAGCAATCCATCCCTTAGGCCAGGCTCTACATCGGCCTCGGCCGCATTGCTGATCCTTCCATATAGAGAAAAGCCCAAAAGAATCTCACCTGGAAGCGAATGTTTATAAAGCAGTGGTGAAAAGCAAAAATCTTCATACCTGTGACAACCGACTTTGATTTGCCGCCGCGTGGTTGAAGCTTATACCACGCCGGTACCAGCGTTAGCTTGTCCGCATCGAGAATCTTCGACACTGGAAGCTTGACCTGGCCCAGGAAATCATCCGCGAAGCAATCCTCGTCCCACACCGATATCAAAATCTCGGCCCCGGAATCATCGACCCGGAAATCAAACTCCTCGTTCCACACCGGATTCAGGCACGCATGGATGACGCTGGTGCTGGATTTCGTGCGGCCGAGCTGCAACCTCACATAGGGATCGCTGGAGCCATTCGGATCTTTGGCGGCCAAACCCCTCGCCTCGAACACATTGACCTGGAGCTTCATTCTACCTGGAATCGACTGATTCTAGCCAATGCCATGGCGGCGCCTCGATTGGAGCTGGAATCCCCGATAGCTTGCGTCGCGATGACGAGCGCAATATCTTGCGGCGCAAGGATCTGTCCAAGAACGCAAAATATGACAAATGGCGTGGAAATCCTATGCTACACCGCCATAGCAAAACCCTAGGTCGTCCCTTCCGCGGCCAAGAGTCAATGGCGAGCGATGCAGCGTGAGACGCCATACTAGAAAGAAATGCTGACGTGTCACTCTTATTTTTCCAGCTAAATGACGTCGATGACGTGGAAATCTCCGGTGCGAGCACGTGTCGGTTTACGACACTTGGCACGCGGCGTCACTGACAAACTGACACTTGTCAATTAGGGCCCCTCTTCCTTCTTCGTGCTTGATCACAATGGGCGAGCAACAAGAGCACAAGGAGGTGGAGTTTGAGGTGGGCGATCGCGTGGCGTGGAGCTATGGCGCAGGGAAAGCGCGCGGGCACATAGTGGAGAAGCTGATCCAGGACAGGAAATTGGGGGCTAGAACTTTCAAGGCCAGCCCGGAGGAGCCCAAGTATCTTCTCAAGATCGACAAGACGGGCAAGGAGGCGATCAGGAAAGGTGAGACGCTGGAGAAGATCGAGGAGGACGATGGTAGCAAGCAATCGCAAGAGGGCGATGGCAAGAAGCACGAAGACGAGTGAGAGCCGAAATTTTCAATCCATCTATGAGAATATTTCTTGATGTTCTTTTTTTTTTTTCTCTCTCTTTTTTCTTGTAATTTTTGTGCACAAGCCTGTAAACTGCAAAGAATGGAGTTCGATACATACAAAATATTCACAAAAGAAAAGTAAAAAATGGGGAAAAAAACGGGGGCCTCGTCCAAAACCTTGCCTTTTACGTTACGCTGGAAGCAACGGAGTTGTCTCGTTTGGCTCCTCGTCTTTTTTCGAGCACCTCGAGCTCAAGTATTGTGCCTGTTTCATCAGAAAGAACACGTTAAGAAGCGGTCAAGTCTGGAGGCGTTTTTTGTCACCTGTAAGAAAATGGTGATGTCCAAAGACACCGTTCCCAAACTTCCCAAAAGCCACGGAGCTTTTCCTATCAAATCGTCCCTGTCAAGCAAACAGTAAGTTTGTCTGAAAACCGGAACAAACAAAAACCGGAAAGCCGTGCTTACATTGTCTTTGCTCTCATCAAAATGGCCGCTCCATACGTGAGATTCGCGAGCACCGCGCACGACACCATCGCCAGCGACAGTCCTTCCGCTGATTTTCTCTGGTTGTTCTTGACGAGCTGGGAAATCCGGGAGCCCAAGTAAAGTCCAGAAGAAATCCACCTGGAGAAGAGCTCTAAAAGTTAGACCTGGAAATGAAAACTCCACGACTTACCCGAAGAAAGTTCCAGTTTGCTTTACCCATTGGAGCCTGCTCTCGGTTTGATTCTCACTACAATGCCTCAAAAGCTTCCGGTTTGCCTGGAGAGCATCGCCTCCAGGGATTCCTGCCATTACTGTACCAGCCAAGCATAGCGCTTTCTTCAAGCCCGGGTTTAAGTTCTTGTTATTCCCGCTTGTGCGCTTTAGATTAAGTTTTGGCAATCGCGACGCCTGCTGTGTGGTGAACTTGGACATGGATGGAGGCCCGTACTCCAGCCCGTATTCCATCACAACTCTTCGTAACTGGCGCCGAGAAGGACACGCATGCTGCTGTGAAGCTTTGGCAACTTGATACTTAAGGTGCTGCAGCTTTTCTTCCTCGAAATCCTGAAACCGTTCCCCTCTAGCTAAAATACCAAGCTGACTGCCGTTGGAATGTTGGAGCACTTGCTGATTCTGGCGTTTAGAATCCTGCTTCTGCTTTCCTATGCTGTTGCTTGCATGACCAGGCGTCGGAAGATCCGCTGGAAACAACAATGCCTGAACTTAGCAAGGAGTTTTCTGCTTGAAAACAAAAACTCGTTCCCATACCCGGTCTGGAAGTTCCATCTTCTGAGTTTATTTGTAGCACGCTTTGATAATCATTCGTAGGCTTATGTACAGATTCATCGAAGTTGTTGTTACGAGCGCGGTAGTATAAGTACTACAAATTTGAGAAAGATGGATCAGAGACAAAGAAAAAAACGCTTTTCTCACACACTAACCTGTGAGATAATTAAACCATCGGCAAAAATAAAGTAATACGCAGTGAATGTCTCAGTCGCAAGCTGGTCGCCAGTAAGAAGACAGCCCAAAAGATTCAACGAATCGCCCTGGCAAATGGGAGATCTTCAGGACAAAGCCGGCAAAGAAAAGAACAAAATGAAAGAAAGGAATCGTACCGCAAGCCATTGGAAGAGAAACCAAGGCGAGAGAGCATCGGCGCTCTGCCGAAGAAAATTACTGACGAACTGAGGCATCTGGGCGATCATCCAGAAGAACACCGACGACATCCCCACGCAAAATCCCAAAATCTCCCACGGGCTGTACACGCAATCGCCAAACCAGACCTCGATCCATCTCACTGCCCCGGGCTGGCATAGGCAATCCAATTCCAGGCGGCGCAGGCTTCCCTTGGTCATTCCTCCAGTAGAGAATCCTTCGATCCTTGGCAGCTCCTCGCCGGTCGTCCAATGCACGCACAGCCTAGGCGAGGAGGCCAGTCTCCATTGCCGCTAATAAAGACCACCGACAGAGGAAATAAGTCCTGGAGAGACTCGCAGGCTGCTACTGTTGCTTGCTACTACCGCCGCCGCTACTGATCATCTCCAAGACTAGAATCGCGAGGAAGGACAAGGGGCGATCGCGCCAAAGATTTCTACGAAATTTCGATCCCCGCGCGCCCACCAAGTAAACCCTAATAGAGACCCTAGATGGACCCTGCCTTTACTTATTTGGGAAAGTGCTAAAAAACTATTCGACCTTTTGTGTGTCAATTTACTGTTGACCTTTAGGGCAGTGCAAGAGGTACGCGAATCCTTGTCTTTATGTACCTTCCTAGATTACTGGAACAGAAGCGGCCAAACAAAACCACTAACAAATGTTAGTGACACTTAAACCTGCATGCACTGCAAGAATAAGATTCTTTAGAATTTTCAAGCTTGAAATGTATGGTACATACTACTATTACTAACAATGGCAAAGTTTATTAAGATCGAACATTCGAATATATGCTTGCTTTTGTTGACAATTCACTGATTGTTAGCATCTCCTCAAGTGGAACACGAATTAGAACTCCGCGTAGTTAAATATTATTTATTATCAGGCGAGTCCAAGCATGACACTGTCTGAACTTTGAAGTCCATTTTCTGGCCTAGCAAATGATTAAATAATAAGGTAGAACTTTGCCAATGTTTACAATGTTCATACGTGTTTTCCACGGCTATGAGAAGCTAAGAACCTATCACTAATCTACTCTACTTGATATATTTTTTAAGTGAGGATAGAGATGTTCGAGCAGAACACTAGAGGGACCCAGAAAGTATTAAAGAGTAGCCATTGCCAACTCAACGAGCAGCACGAGACAGAGAAAGGCTGAGTTCAGTTAGTCATTATTGAAGTAGCTTTCTCAGGTTCTAGAGAAAGAGATGAAAACGAGCCACCATCTGGAGATCCTCTTTAGTTCCCATCTTTCTCATGGCCTGACAACGTAACATGGCCATGACCTAAGTTATATCACTTGAGGCAGAATGAAATTTGCTTCAAAATCATGCTGTTTTCCAGCAAAGAATGGGAAATCATAGAGTGTGCATGGTCTGCCAGCACTCAATAATCGTCAATTTAGAAATACCATGGGAGGCTTATCTTACTACTTATTTGCCCCAGTCATAAAGAATATGATCAAAAGAAGTGATATCGTCTGAGTTGCATTTCTCCCTGAGGAAGGTTGACTTGAAAGGATGATCACAAATGATAAATCTTAAAGTAGAGCTTACCAGGCCATAAACTTTAAAAACAAAAGCCAGGATCATGGATATGGGCAATGATGACATAGAAAGCAAGAAGATTTGCCAAAGCTCCTATGGATATTTTTCTTCAACCTCTCACAACCCCTGTTTATCAAGTGATGAAAAAAGAAAGATTTCTTAACCATGAGAAGCATTTACCTCCAAGCATGTGTTGGAAGCCGCGATAAAGATGGCAACCTTGAGCAAGCTTACAATGTGATCCACCAAGTGATTGTCATGTATTTATTAAGGAGCATATTCATATAACAAAAATTTAACCCTTGGGATTTAAACTCAAAACCTGTTATACAAATAGATGGGCATTTGAGATTAGTATGGATTCACACCTAGATTAGATTTTTGAATTATATTAGTTTTTAGAGCCCTTATATATATAGTAAAGTTCTAAAGACTTTGTACTTAAAGTTTCAACATCTTTCTTCTTCATTATTTAGTATTTTAATAGTTTTGTCATCTCTCTTTCTTTGGATAACAAGCTTTTGATAATTTAAACACTTTGATATTAATGACTTCCTCATCCTTTTTTTTTAGCTTTAGTCAGATCCAAATCTTTTGCAAAAGTCATATAAAACATTAGAGCAATCCCATATGACACTTCACATGCAACTTTAATAAATTATTCCAACACCAATAATAATTTTTTAGTTTAATATCAAAGATTTTTATACCAATAAAATTTGATGGTGTGCAATTCAAGTTTCATAACTTTCTCAACCAAGTAAGACTTTGAATTGCCATGCAACTTGACTAATATTCCTCTTGCATTGCCTTATTCAAATATTTTCTTACTGACATGTCTCTATCCTAGTTCTTTGCCCTTTTTTCACTAACATGTTTAACAATATTAAACAAAAGTGTACCATTATCAATAAATTATAGCAATTGCATTAAGTCTTTAAGTTTGTATTTACTTATGCATTGAGGTTATAAATGGTTGCTATTGATATTTCATAGGATGATGCATCTCTTAAAATATTTCCACTTTGGCCTTCATAATGATGTCAATACTGCCATTGATCTTGTTATTTGATATGACAATCAATTACAATAATGATAACTGAAATGTTATTGTTCCTTGTCTAACAACCCCAATCTTGAAAGAACTAGCAGCTCCAAAGTCGCAGACTTTGTTACTACTCTCAAGTCTTGCACCTGCCTAAGATTGGACTCAAGTTGGTAATGTAGAATGTTGGAGAAAGGCATGGGAGTTTACAAGTCGGATCTATCTTCCTTAAAAAACTTCATCACGCTTGTGGACATGAACGAGAGTGCTGGAAGTTGTGGAATGCGCACAGGACATCACGCGTCTCATGGATTGCCATGATCATTGGCTACACCGATAACAGGTATGGTCACTTGGCTCTACAGTTCTTCTCGTGTATGATAAGCCCAAGGCGCTGTGGAGAGGGCGCAGGGGCATTGTCACAGCCTTGTACAGCCGCTTGAGCTGCAGCTAATTCTCCATGACAATAAAAAGGTTTGTGGAGCTACAGGAACTCTGGAAGCCCGCGCTGGGGCAATCCTCGTGCATGCCAGATAGCCAATTCATTCATGTCGATGGACTGGCTAAATCACGACAATCATTGACGTCATGACCTGAATCTTCTTCTCCGCGAGAATCCCTGCAAGAATGAGATCATGACGATGGAGTTGGTGAAGTGGCATCCACCTGACTTGGACAGCTCTTCAGCTCGCGATGCTTGCTGTGATCACACATTTTTGTCCACAGCCAGCTGCGTGACTATGTAGTCATTGAGACAGAGCTCACGAGCAGTTATCTGCCTCTCGACGAAAATGAGCTCAAGACCATGACAGCAGTGGAGCATCGATCTGGCTTGAGTCTCACAACAGCACTTTCTTCCTGTCTGGCCAAGAGCGACAATGGGGATCATTTTATGCACTCCAGATCATGAGTGAGCATTTGCCTGAGATTCCCTGCTACACTCTCCATGCACTTGTCGTGGAAGAGTCGTAGGGCCACTGCAGTGCAAATTGATTAAAATGTTTTAAGCATCTGATATTCCACCACCTTCTTGAGCTTGTAAGTTCTTGGACATCTTCTCCATCCTCCAGCCTCAGCAAGCTCTCTCCAGCTTGCTTGTTCACGCCTTGCTTGTTCATCAGCCCTCTCACTCTCTCGGTCTTGTCATGCATCAAGAGCAACCTTTGTGCTACTGCTCTTATGCATAGCAATCTTAGTACTGTGGTTTTTTATTGGAGGTGTTCTTCGAGCTCTTGGGCAAGATCCCCTTATTTCCTATCACACTGAGGTGGCTTTTGACCCCAGGATGTGGCCATTGGTGAAGTTTCTACAGTCCCAGTACATCGTTTTCCCCAATGTCCTATGTAAACTTGCCCTCAAGATGCAAGGAAACATTCACGGGGTTCACTCATAAAAAGGGGCTTTTGACCCTCAAAACCTCCCAAGCAAAGACCCATAATCTATTTTTATAATGGTAATTTTATTTTATCTTCTATTTACTTTTAAATGTAAAACTTCCTTCCATGGCTGTTATTGCTAATTTCTGCTACTCGCAAAGCTCCCATTTTTTTGCATCAGCTGTGACTAGGTTATCTCTCATATCATATACATGGCTGAGGAGGTGAATTGTCTCATGTGAAATATAATAAAAAGAACCAAACAACTTATGGGTAATTGGAATGAGTACAATCTAAATCTCTTAACGAGGATCCATTGGATAATACCTTTTAAAGAAACTAAGACCACCTTATTGACTGTCACTATCATAAATTGGTCATAGAGAGAAAGGGAGACAAAAAAATTACTAATAAAAGACTAAATTAATAAAGAAGAAAAGATGAATTTATGTTGAACACTCACTTTTATAAGACTAAAAGTAGTTATATGCACAGTAGGTGTTAAGTTAAAATCCCATGAGCAAAGTTTAGGGTTCAATTCCTACCGTCCTCAATAAATATAAAAAGATTGCAAATATGTAATATCATCCCAAGCACTAAACAGCAACTAAAATGGTATAGAACCAAATTTAAATGGATATTATTGATAGAAATTCACAACCTACTTAGAAGTATATAATTTGAATCAAGGATGGTAGCAACTTCAAACTTCTACTCACAATTACCTTTAAAGGAGGTGATCATGGAATATAAATGGGATCAAAAGGAGTGTAATAAAGTTTCAATAAAAACACATGGAACACCCTCATAAGTGGTGGAAGATCAAGTCAATAAATGACTTCAAAAGTGTGAAAGAACTCAAATGTTGCTTTAGCTTATTGTAAAGATATATAATCTTCCAATAACAATAAAGAAGCTAAATTTTGATTCAACTAGAAAAGAAGAATTAAATTGGTAAAATCGATCAATAGTATATAAGTAAGCAACTTAAGTATAAGAAAGGTGATATTGAAAGACTAGGAAATTTAAAAAGAAGGAACGGAGCCAAAATGAGGAAGAGAAAATGATTTATTCAATCAAACAACCTTTAATTGGATTAAAGGTTCTTGTTTTCCAAAACCAAAGGTGTTGTAAAGCATAAAGATAAAAAAATTACTCCCGGGAGTGGTATTGTTATAATATATATATATATATATATATATATATATATATATATATATATATATATATATATATATATATATATATATATATATATATATATATATATATATATATATATATATATAT